GGTGTTTTTTTTTTTTCTCGCTCCTCGCCGTGCGGCAAGCAGGTTGCCTACACACCAGGCGCCCTCCCGCCTGCAGCGTAGGCACGGTGCCCCACACCCGTGTAAGCAGGTTGCCTGCACACCAGGCGCCCTCCACCTGCAGCGTAGGCACGGTGCCCCACACCCGTGTAAGCAGATTGCCGGCACACCAGGCGCCCTCCCGTCTGCAGCGTAGGCGCGTGGCCCACACCCGTCCGATCAGGCTGCCGGCGCGCTTGGGTTTAGTTAACGTACGGTAAAAACAACGTCCTGGTTTTTATGACGGCTGGGTTTGGAAGAAATCCGTGGGGAACGTCTTGGGTTTTCCCGACGTGATGAAAGCCAGGCCGTCGTTTTAACCGTGCGTTAACTAAACACAAGCTACTTTTTCTACGCTGCAGGTGGGAGGGCGCGCATACAACCTGCTCGCGGGGTGGTACGAGGTGCTGGGGGGTCCTGAGCCTCGCTGCCTTTGTAACGTGTATACTGGACCATAGGCAAAATAACATTCCCGAGTGCTCAGGACTCCCTAGGACCACGTCAACTAAACGCAAGTGCGACTGACGGCAGCGCATGCCTAGTTGTCCGACATGTCTCCCATCCCGTTGCCTATTTGCCTGACGTCGATCTCGGTGTCAACGAAGCGAGCTCCATAGGGAGCCGCAAGAGACGAGCGATCAGAGCAAGCGCCCGCTTTCGTCTTCGAACGCCGCCCCAACATTGATCGTTTTGCTCACAGCCCCCTGGCAGTGCTCACTCCCAAATGTTCACCACGGCGCGAGCAAAACTTGCTCTTTGGCACCTTGCGCTTGGGTGAGCTGAGCAGTTGTGGTGGTGGTGGTGGTGCGTCAGGCCACCCGAAGGCGATACCTGAGGGCACGGGGAGTTGCTCGCAAGGGCTCCCGGGCGATAAATTGTAGTTCTTCCTTGCAACAGTGCAGAAAGCGGCCCCGCCGGGCCCCACCCCGCCAAACTGACTTCGGTCTCAGCGCGTGGCCCCTCGAACAACATCGCTCGCAGTCCCCGGCTTGAAACACGTTTGCTCGCTCGATGCAGGTCCCTGAAGTCAGCAACCTATTTCCACTCATCCGCTTTCGACTACAAAATACTTCCAGGGTGGATGCACTCTGTTTGATCTCCAGATATTTGTCGAACGTCAAAGTCGCTTGCTACAAAATCGTAACTTAAATTAACGGGCCCACCAAAATCTTGTTTCAGATGTAATGTGTGGAGGACCCCTTAAGATAGCTTAAACAAATGACAGCTTATCCCGCTGATAGCATCTGCCTGCAGTTGCAGCTGTAGCACTGAAAAAAATATTTTTTTTTTTTTTTAAAAAAAAACCTAGTTACTGCTAATTGTGCTCTGTATTTTTGAAATTGTTTAAATTCGCAATTTCATCGTTGTTTGTCCTCTGATCTACAGTCTAAAACATAGAACGAATTGACCTGCGATTTCCTTACTATACATACACCATTGGGGAAAAAATTGTTTGTGGTGGATTTTTATTTTTTTACGGTGAGTGCGGGATCTCGCAACCGGAACACCTTCAAAATGGCGTGACACACATCTCACGTTACTGCATTGTCGCCCAAAGTGCGCGAAGTCACACACTGGGATACAACATATTTGCTTTCCTTTAGCTTGGGTAAGACAGGGGTTTTTAGACAACGTCATCCACACCAGTGTAGTTGAGTGGTGAGCGAAGTCCAACCGACCCGGCCTACGTCAACCCCGAACGAGAGCGCTTTTCGGACTTCTTTGAACATTACTCCCCCCCTTCCCTCCTTTCCTTTTTTTTTGATCCACCCGGGTGGACTTCACGAAAGCCTGTCGTGTGCTGCCGCACCCACACTAAAAGTCCAACAATACCAATGTCACACACCTGCAGGAAAGTGAATCAGGGTGTTGCGGGTTTGCCTACTCCAAGGGGCCTTGCGGGATAAGTGAGTAGGCAAACACGCAATCTTGCGGTGCAATACGGAGAGTGTTCTCAATTCATTACACACCAGCGTGTGTGCGACATTCGGACATTTGGATTTATGGAGCAACGCGGCTTCAACCGATAAGCTGTTTACAACCACGAAAAAAATCAGTTTCAGTCGGGGAGGGGAGGGGGTGGGGGGGTAGGATGTGGTCGTAGCAGACAAAAAGTCGACGATTTCTCCATGTAAATGTGTTCCACCCCCCTCCCTCCTTTTTGCTAGAAAATGTTGATACTAATAGAAAATCCTGGACGATTATCAGGGCAATAAGCTGATTATTTCTCCCGTTAGAGTCATGCTTTGGTACATTGATTGATTGATTGAATGGTTTATTGTCAACATTAAAAGGACTAGATAGTCCTAGATAGACACACATCAACGGTTAAAAAATTAAGTCCAAAATATGTGGTGTTTTTTTTTTTTCTCGCTCCTCGCCGTGCGAGTTGGGTCGCCAGTTACTGGGTCAACATCAACGTGACTCGAGCCCCGCCCTTAAAGGTACTACTGATGCTGGTGACATGGTACGGTGTGGTATTTTGAGTGCAAGGTCGGTGGTGAATTTCAGGGCTGTTTAATACTTTACTTCCGGGGTCAAATTTTACTTAGCGTGACTGATGTCCGATTTAAAAAGCAGTCACGTATTTTTGACGTCACCACGCGCAACAAAAAATATTTACTTTTCTGACTAAACGATTGGAAAAGTAGCTGTCACGCACGCAAAGGGTTTCGCGTATAGCTTAAATGCCAACTGTTTGGCAATTTTACCGTTATAAAAACATTGTCGAAAAAAAAATAAGATGGAAAGGATTAGAAAAAAGAAGAGGACGGGGAAGAGGAGATGGTGTGATTTCTAACGATTATCGAAATTGGGTATGGTAAGTGAGAAATGGGTATCTCCAGTTTCAATTACCAGCCGTCGATCGCAGGAAGGAAAGAGTTAGTTATTTTGTGACGTGAAGCGTTGCGTGATGGACTTTCAAATAGCCCTTCGCAGCGCAGCTCGGGGAATTCCTGGTCAGTCACTGACTACTGGCCGCGAGGAAAATTTGAACAGCAGCGATATAATTACATTTCGTTTGTCGACAAGGAGTGGGAGAGTGGGAACGTCGTATTTCTTCAGAAGAAGAGGCGCAGACTGTGACATCTCGGACGCGGGGTGGCTCGAGTCGACTCTCGCAACCGCACCCTAACTTCGGGGAGTTTTAAGGCTCGGGGCGACTCTCGAAACCACCTCCCCCTGCCGAGGCAGCGCGCCATACAGCCGCCACTCTCGAACCGGGGCGCCACTCGTCCGTCTGCTGATCGAGTCTCGACTCGGTGCGGGGGCGGCGGTCGGCCGGTCGGCATGGCACCGCAGACCGATGCCATTGATCGGACATAAACGACTCGCGACGTCGAGGCGCACGCGGCACCCGCCGCGGGCCCAGGTGGGGCGCCGGATGTGCGTCGAGCAGGCGTTATCAGAGACTTCCCTCCGCGCAGCGTTGCCAAGTCGCGCCGACCACCACGAGCCACGAGCACTCGCTCGATCCACTTCTGCAGGCCAGCCTACTACCCACACGCCGCGGCGATGAATATTGACACGTAACACGCATGAGTTTGACACATCAGGCGCGTAGAAAAAGGGGGCAGTCGCAGAGGGGTCCTCCCAACGCCCCGTGGGTAGGCAACGTGTGATGCACTTCGTCTTCGTCTGTACGAGGCAAAAAGGGCGCACCCCCTCCCCCCCCCCCCAAAAAAAAATGAAAGACATCCTGGCCAGGCCACGCACCGGCCATAAGGGTCATTCGGCAGTTTCGCAGACACACTGTTAAAAAACACACTTGATATAAAAAACTGAGAATATCATGGCTTATTATTTTTACAACCATCTGATCACGGATTTCTCGTAATTTTCACGAAAATTCAGTCAATAGACTAAAAAAAACTCCATGATATATATGGTATATATAAAAATAATTGGCCATGATGTGCTCGTTTGCATAACAATAATTTTTCACAGCGCGACAATCACGCCTCTGACGATAGGACGTTGTGGTTTAACCAGAACGCCTGCGGCTAGTTTTGCAAAAACAGTCAGATGCAACGGTAGTTGTCGTAACTTCGATTTACCACGGTGCCTTTGCACGAATTCCATGTTGTATGTTTGCAGTTTAAAATAATCTGGACGAAGTCCCGGAGTATATCAACGGCAACAAAGTAGCTACAACAAAGTAGCACGAGAATTTTTGAAGGGAGAGAACTACAAATAGTGAAGACCAAGTGCTGATGCAGTGTGCACACAGGGTTATGTTTGACCCGTGCTCGCACGACGCCGTGCTTCACACTGAACTCAGCCACAAGGTTTTTCCACTTCGGTGGCAGTTCGGATCGGTCAGATTTCTACTGAAGGAGACAAACCACGTCCTCAAACGGAAAACGGGGGTACATTTTGGTGTGATCCGCCACTCCGCCGCACTGCGAGTCCCGTGGTACAGAGCGGCCTTCCCTCGATGACAGGCTCGTGGGGGACACGTCAGACGCCACACCGCCGAGACCAAGAGTGCGCTCTCGGCTCCGGCGAGTTCTTGCTCCGACTGACAAGAGGAAAGGTTTTTCCGGGTCGGTGGTTTAAGGGTTGATGACGAGAGCCTCAGCCTCCAAAGCAGTCGTGGTACTGCAAAATGGGTGAGCGGCACTCCTCAAAAGTACCGGCTGGATTGGCTCCAGCTATATGAGCTGGAAATTTGCAGCGGTTCGTATTTCAGCTTCGACAGCTATGAGGGCCAGAATGAGGGACATTGAAGCGCGACTCTTTCACGAACACCTTGCTTCAGAGATCGGGGCCGCGACACTTATCTGCCCCGCGAGCATGATCAGCCGAGGGGCAATTTGAGCTACGTTACGCAATCGCACCCCGGACCCGATCCTCTGAAGAAAAAGATGGCGGTTGCGCTCGAACATTCAGCACACTTAGCACCTCATTGTGTTGTTTGTTTTTTTCCTTGCATCGACCATTTAACAATTTTCTCAACGGCAGAGGGCTCGTGAGCCCGCGACCTCTGGCCCTTGGCAAAAATCGAGAAACATCGGCGCTGGCGATTAGCGACACTCGGCACGGTCCCAGCCCCCACCCCCCGTCGAGTCTTACCGGCGCCGTGCGCCCCCACCGTTTGGTACGGCAGCTGATAGGGGCAGCTGATAGGGGCAGCTGTGGCACCGCAGCTGCGGCCGGCCACCCGGCAGAGAGGATCGCCACGGGCCACCCGGGCGACAGGGCACGGCAGGGCGCAAGTGGTGGTTGCTTGGGTGTAGAGCAGCCGGAGCAGCGGCCTCGGGTTGCAGCAGGGACTTCCCTCCCCAGTCCGCTGCCCTCGTCGGGCTGCTTACGATCGGGGCAGAGGTCCCTACGTAAAATCGATTAGGGAATCGAATGACGGCAAGGCGCTTGCCAGTACGGACATCCCCTCCCGCTCCCCCTCCCACGCATGCCACCCCACCCGCATACTGAGCAGACAAGTTTGCGGGTAACTCTGACACTGCGACTGCGTCCGAGGCAAGGAAACAATTCACTGCCCAGAGAGATGCGGGATTTAAATTTACCACCAAACAAGTAATGCTAACCAGTAGAGAAAAGTCAAAGCACTACCCAAGACAGTCAAACAATGGGGTAAGGGTTGTTGGAATTTTCCGAAGTAGGGCTCACCAGATACGCAATACGATTCCAATCAATATTGGAGTATGTCGTGGACGAGTTCACAACATTAGCCAAGTCTTGTGAGGGAATAAACCTCATGGAGGTATCGGGTGTTTGAATGAAGAGCCTACCTGCTGAGTAGAGCAGTCTTTCAGTAGATGGACCTGAAGAAGCAATCAGCAGGTGCACTGCACGAGGCACACCCAGATGTACGTTGGGAAGACAGCACCAGGTTCAGCACACTTGATATTTAACTGCTACATGAGGAGCGGTATCTTGCTCAGTGTCCGGATATCTTCTCCATTAAAGAAACAGGATGGGAACTGGAAGAGGATGACAAGGTCCTGGAATGTTGACTGCTTTGCAAATTATGCAATCCCAGACAATCAACATTTAATCTTCCATCCGAAGAAAAATCCAATCTTTTGAAAGCTATAGGATAATGCAAGTAAAGCAGGTACCCCATTTGCTCACTCACACTTAAATATTCTGGATATTAAGAAGAATGTGTAGCTCTTAAAAGTTGTACATTTCAGTGATCAGCAAGTAACCCCAGCCCTGGAAATTTCTTGACAAAATGCAAGAAAATTGTGTGACTTCTCTCTGTTGAATGTTGAAGAAAACTGCAGTCAATGTGAGTTAGTGTGTAGGAAAAATCGGCAGGAGCAAGATTGTTTGCTGGAGAAATCGCAAATTTCTTGCTGCATTTAAAAGCTTGGGTTTCTGTTCTAAACTAAAAGGGTCTAACTTCACTGGCTCAGCTACAGAACAGCGGCAAGAGTGCAACCAAACGTCAAAACGACAAAGTATTACGAAAATCCTACCCATCAGACATTTTCCTCGAGTTGGCCATTGTGGCCTTGCCTATTTAAAGTCCCGTTCAGAAGACAAGGCAAGAGACCCTCAAGGGATGTCGAATGTAGAACCTCTTGTGGAAAAGGACACCACAGACCTGCACAATTTAGCATCAAACTAACAGGTAAAATGTGGATTCAATTTCCTGAGGTTCATACAATCTTCTTTACCTAAAATGATAGCAAGTCAAAAACTATCAGCTACTTTAGAAAGTAGATGGCCATGAAGCTTTAGCTTTGCTGACTAGACGGGCTTCTTCTTTGGAGTCCGATGATTGCTAAAATCCAGGATGCCGTAATGCTAAAAAGAACTAGTAGTTTTCCTTCTTACAGTTACCAGTTGGCTTCATATGACACTAAAATGACAACTGAAGATTGGCAACAAAAATATAACAATTATCTAATTGTAAGAATTCACAAAATAAATTAGAAATAAAATCTTTGCTCCAACTATTTATATAGAAATATACAGATCTCTACCAATCCTGATGAACAGTGGAGAGGAATAGCTCGCATGTAACTATGATTTTAAATTAATGAAGGGGAAAGAAAAAGAGCTTGATAAGTAATTTCTATTTTTTGCAGAATTAGTCTGCAAATTGTTTTATATAATTTATCTAGCACCATGAAAAAATGTCAAGACTTTTTTGGTCTCTTCAGATTGTACTAATATACCCCATCCTGAATTATGCAATTAAGTGTTCAAAAAAATACCATAACCGCTCAACTAAGAGACCAGAAAATACCATGCAAGAGCCAATCCCGTCAGTTGTAACACCCAAAATGTAACTGGTACTGACATCAGTCTCTACTACAGAGACACCAGAACTGTTCGCTACCGAGAAATGTACGATGTGATCTGTATGTATAATAAACCTGGTAGAGACATAAGCTTTGTGTGATATTTTACCTTATCGGATCAAAGTCAAAATATTCCTCTTCTTTGGTAATCTACCAAAATGAAGAAATCAATTATCAGCCAAGATGCATCCCTAAACTGACGAGCGTAGAGATGTCATAGATGTCCAGACTTCGAGGCAAGTAGAGTCATCTTCCCATCTCATCATAATATCCATTGGTCACATTGATCTGAATATTATCCGTATTCCGTATGTACAAGAACGATCTGAAAAGTAAGTGGTATTACAGGTTAAATTGGTCAAACACCAACTGGGAAAATATCCAAGGTCACTCACTAACAATTACATAAACTATTCCTCTACCAAACACTATTGCTTTGTCAACGAAGAAGACAACTAGCCGACGGTAAAAATAAAGACTGATCAAAGTTACAGCAAGTATTAAATAAAGGGAACGACTAAGTTAAATTATGGAACGCTCGAAACACAGTTAAAAAAGTACAATGACTAGCCTGAATGTTTGAAAACTATGTCAGACCCGACCACCGAAATAGGCAAGTAAAGTAGTGAACCTAGATAAAGTCAGATGTAGAAATATCCCTCGCGAAATAATCTAACAGAAAAAAACATCGTACCCCACAACTGAGAGGGAAAATGATAAGCCACCAACGAGTGCTCACGGGACCGTAGCGTTTCGACAATGTGTCTGCACTTTCGTTCTATACGTTAAGACACCTTTGAGCGCAGCCGAGCGCAAGAAAACTTACCCCGAACTAAACTAAAGATGAAATGTCACTAATAAAAGAATAAGAACAACGGAAAAGTCCCTGGAAAACTGCTTCTGGTCCTTCTAAAAGTTATCAGACGAAACCTCAACCCACAGCCCGAAGCGGTTGGGGGATTTCAAAATGGCGTCGTCAAGAAACTTCTGCGAATCGACCAAGCCGCCAAGCCGAACGCCGAACCTAGCCGAACCCGAACCGAGCACCGAACGAGTGAGCAGCCGAACGACCCGAACACACACGAGCAGCTAGGTTCAAAAGGTGTGCGCCGGCTCTCTTCCCCTACTCCATTCACGAGCGCGGAGTAGCGTCGATACGCATATCCACTTTTGAAAACAATGTTTCATCTTATATCTTGGGAAAGGAAGACCAGAATGCAACGAAAACGGGCTCCAAGTTACTTGCAAATACCAGGCTGGTTTATGATAGCAAAATCCAATCCTCTATATTGCTTGCAGAAAGTAAGTGACCGTCGCTACTCCTTGCCACTGGGCTGCTTCGGGCATCTTCGGGAGTGATTCGGCAACTATCGTTTAGGAGAGAGGGGGAGACATGAGTCAATTTCAAAGAACCCGCGCGATAGTCGAGCGCGGGCAAACGCTGCCTGCGCCTGCTATGGTCGGTGCGTTTCAGGCAGTCCAGTCGCTGCGTATGAGGAAGGCAGAGTGGTGTATTAATCCCAAGATGGCCAAAATATGTGTGTTGTTTTTCGTGTGAAATGTTGTGATTGTGTGATCTTATAGTGTTCTGGTGCACTCCCACCATGGCGGAGATCAATATGGACTTAACGAAGCTTCCCACGGAAGTCAGGGATAAATTGGCGGAGCTGGAATTAGAACTTTCTGAAGGTAAGAGATCGTGAGCGAGGAGCTGCAGACAATCGGCTGCCAATTCTTCTCTTGACAGCTCATTATTTAAGTCCCTTTACTCCTTTCCTGCACGCTCGGGTCGGACGGGATTCTCTATAGTTGTAAACTGGTGTCTAATCTGACCGGCTGCAGTCGATGCAGCCCCTCTAGACACAAAGAAGCCCCACAAATCGATATTGTCCGGACCGTGTTTACATACGAGGCAGGTAGTGCCGGGTGTGGAGTCTTGCAGGGTGCACTCACCCCCCACTGAAAATTTTCATTTAAACTTTTTATGGTGCTTGCTGGGTCTTGGGAACCCTTATAGTTGTGGTTAACCGGCATTCGTTTTCATGTTATGCAAGTGTTTATTACTTTGAAAAAACTATTACGATATGATTTATCTTTACAAATCTCTGCGCCCAACCTCTCTTTGTGACTTGATCATACATCCACCTGCCTCATTTAAATACACTCATTTTACAAGTTTTCCTCATATATACAATTTTGTTGTTGAATAGGCTGTGTTAATTTAATTTTTTAAAATTTTACTTTGTTTTTCATGATTTTAATATGGGAGTATCATGAATTTTGTACTAGAATTAATTGAATATTATACTAATTTCATGTATAACAATATTATACTTTCTTCATGCCATATACAGCCTGGCTTATTTTCTGTTTGGCGCTAACATTTACGATTGACATACTCTTTAGTTTAGTGCGATGATTGACTTTTAAGTTAACTGTACTGATTGTAATTTCTGTAGCACTTGCAAATTGTCTGTTACTTGAGGTCCCAGTCCAATCCAATTCTTTTTTATTATTGAATGGATTTAATCACACCTGGAAGAGAAGTATACTCCCGGTCCACATTGATGGCCCTCAAAGCCCAACTAATCAGTTGAGTTTTTTCTCCCCTTCACATTCGGTTTCTTTCCCTCACACAGAATCAATGGGCGTGTGTGTGTGTGGCGGCGTGTCGGCACGAGCCGTTTCGCGGTGGAGGCTAGGTAGCGCCAGGCCAGACTGGGGGGAGGGGCGCGGAGGCGGGGGAGGGTGGCGCACCTCGGAGGAGGTCATGTGGAACCTGTATGCCGTGCTGTGCTGAGCCAAGCCGGGTGGGGCTGCAACTGCTGGAACTGCAGCAGTGACAGGCTGACGCAGGACTTGGCATTGCCCTGGGGAACTGGCACGGACCTGGGGCCGACATACCCAATTGTAACTGTGATGCAATCTGACAACCCTTTATCCATGGGGGCCCGGCCGGCTGCTGCCAAATACTCAGTACTCCATTTTATCACACTATTGGTTTCCAACCGTAGAGCATTGCTATCTCCATCAAGGAGTACCGGTAAATGACGCTGCGGTCTCTCTGTACTGTACGTTTTTTTTCCCTACACCCTGCGGCGGCCGCGGCGCGACTCGGCGCGGCGGATGCCGTCGGTTGTCACTGAGCTTAGTCAGTAGTTAGTTGTGACCCTATGCCCCAAGGCCATCGGACCGGGAGCCGTAGAGTCGCGCTGCCGTCCCTGCCCGCCGCCCCGGTGGCTCGGCCGGCACCTGTACACGGTGGGCTCTAGCCGCCCATGACAAGGATTACGTTTCTCCGAAGTGGAGAGAACCAGAGAACGCGCCGGGGCGCCGGAAGCTCGCGAGGAGGGAGGGATCGGCGCCCGTAGCCCAGCCCAGCCCCGCGGGAGGTTCGCTGAAAGTGCTCCCGAGGCGTCTCTGGACGGCGATCCTCGGGCGGTGTAATGAGACCGAATCGGACACGCGCGTGGATCATTGACTCGCGTCGCGCCCGAACCCGACGCCGCAGAGTGTGTCAGCGGGGCGGGGCGGGGCCGGGCGGCGGGGCGCAGTGTGGTGGACGGGCGCAACTGCGGGGCGTCGGCGTGCGAGTTACGCCAGTTTCAGAGGCGCGCTGAGTGTTTCCGAAACACGTCAACTGGACGGGCCGCCGGCGAGGTGCGCTGCTGCTGCTGCCATGGGGCCATGGGGCCCGCCCGCCATGGGCCGTGGTGGTGGTAGTGGGGCCCAACCCGGCTCGGCTGGGCTGGTTTGATCGGCTCGGCTCGGTGCTTCCTTGAAGCAATATAAGCTCGTTTGGGCCCGGGCTGGCTGGCTGGCTCGCCGCCGGCCTGACTGCCCTCTCGGTCTGGGCGGCTGGTTCGAGCAGCAGCAGCACCAGCAGCAGCCCGCCTGTTTCAGCACCCGTCTGGAATGACTTTCTTTCTATCCCGGTTGTGACTCAGCAGCGGTAATCAGCCTCTTCATGGATGCGCGCCCGGCCATAGGAAGGTGTGATGCGGCGCTCCCGAAGTAGTCAAGTCGGGCGGGGTGGCCCCAGGACCGCCCACGCCCACCGCCCCTGCCCGCCGACGAGCCGAGGCGAGACAGGGTGACGACCGCTTTCAACGCGATAGTATGGACTTCTAGTGCGGCTCTGGGGACATTCTCCATGCCTCGGTGCTGCCGCCGTCCCGACGGAGGCCGTCCGAGCGCCTCCGCAATTATACACTGTACTACTTATGTACTTCTATCGCTGTGGCGGGTCGTTCAACTCCAGTGGCTCGGCCCCGCTCGGCTCGGCTTGGTAGGCGAATCGGCGCGGCGCGTTTTGTCACAGAGGTCCTAATTGCAGCCCTCCGGGCCCACGGGCGGGGCGCGAGGCTGGCAGCGCGGCCCGCCACGCCTCTCCATGTTTGGCGCGAGCGTCGCGCCGCCGCCGCGCCCCGCTGAGCGGCGGGAGCTGCTGACGCTGCCGCCCCCGGGCTGAACCGCCAGCTACAGTGCACAGCCCTGCTGTACGCTGATTTAGGCCCCCTTTCAATGCCCCCTCCCGCTTCCTCCTGGGTTCTTTTGTTCTGTCCCGTGCTTTTATAGCCCGATTTTTCACACCGCCAAAAGTTTATGAAGGGAATAAGGACACGACGCGTTTGTCGTCTCCCTTTCCGTTTTCAGGCCGCGGTGGTGGCGGCGCCGCCGTCAAGCTGGCGCTCAATGGAGCGCGGGCGGACTTGGGGCCCATGCTGCCGCTCCAAACTTTTCTCACCCCGCGCCCGCCGCCCCGGCGCCTCGCGCCGCCGCCTCGTCACTTTGGCTGCAGCTCATCGTCTCTCATTATCCGAGCCGGGCTGGGGCTGCCGGCGGGGCGGGGCGAGCCCCGCGGCCAGCACCTCTCCTCTCACAATGGAGTACTCTGTCAAGCGAAAGCTTAGTGGGCAAAACGGGCCGTTGTGCCTCGCGCCTCGTTGCGCCTCCCTCTGCCCCTCCCTCCGCGGGGCGGGGAGCGGGGCACTCGCGCGGTTTTATCTCCGCCGAGGTGTGTCGCGGCCGGCGCCGGTGCCGCCGGTAGGTGGGCGGGCAGAGAGCAGCGGCGCCGCGCCCGTCAGAGGCAGGACGCGTCGGCGCCGCCGCCGTTTTGTATGTCTGCTGCAGATGTCAATCGGCTGGCGCGGTCAGCGTCGGTGCAGCCCGGCCCCCCGATGGCTGTGGCCAAAGCCCTCCGTATCGGGCGGGGCGGGCCGGCTCGGATAAGCCCCCGTGTGGGGCGTGTCCGGGGCCCGGCTCAGTGTGGTGATCCAATTGCTCTTGTATGGTCCCTCCCAAACGGCCGCGCCCCGTGTGCGCCCCTCCCAAGGACGCCCCCCCCCGCCCCGCCCGTGTGTGCACTTGCAGCTGCACCAGCCACCTCTCCCGGGTACCTTTTGTGGAGGGGCGCTGCTGGGCTGTGGCTGCGGCTTGGCGGCTCGCTGTGCCCGGATGTTCGGGGAGAGGAGAGAGGGAGAGAGAGGAGGGGACGAGGCAGGGCGGCAGAACAAGAGAGTCCCTTCAAGTCCCGAGGTGGAGAGAGAGGGAGAGTGGAGAGCGAGGGAGAGCTCGCGCGTGAGGAGAGGAGAAGAGTGGAGTGGTGCGGGCGGGGCGTCCTCAAGTGGGTGGCTGCACGGGACAAAACCGAATGCGCGGGCCGGGGGCCGGGCCACTGTGAAGTGGAAGATTGTGTGAACACGCAGCGGTATTGGGTTTGTGTCGCCGAGCCCCCGTTCCTCTCTATCCCATTGCTTTCATCCCGTCGGCCTGTGCTCGGGTCGCTGCAGCCCGCGCCGGGCCCCGGGCCGTCAGTCATGTTTATAAATCAGGAGAGGGGGTGGAGGGGTGCTAGCGGGGGATCCTTTTTGGGGGCACCTACTCCTAGGGCTTCGCGCGGAGGCCCCCTTGGACCAGCGCGCCGGAAGACTTACGGCCTCCTCCTCTTCTTCGTCCTCCTCATCCTTCCTCCTCTTCCTCTTCGCGCCTGCGGCGAGCGCGCATCCCGCTTAGCGCGCGGCTCCCCACCTGCGCGCCGCGCCGCGCCGCGCCGCGGTGTGGTGTGGTGTGGTGTGGCACGTCGTACGGGGCGTCGGCGCTTCCGGAGGGCATTTCGAATTCCGCCCATAAACTGCTGCTGCTGCGGCGACGACGACGAGTTCCCGCTATAGGTCGGGGGACGGGGTGCGGCGCGGGGCGGGGCGTGGGCGTCGAGTCTCTTCGTCGTTCGCGCGCGTCCCTCGCACGGAAAAATAAAAATAAATGATTAGTCTTCAGAACTAACAAATAAGTTCTGAAGATATAGTCAGTCAGAATTCGCTGG